GCTGCAAACGGGTGCTGCCTGGCTGGTGCCTGGGGCCGTGGGGTGACTGGGCCTCGTGCTTGTCGTCAGAGGTGGGCTAGCCTGGACTTGTTCACACGGCGGCGGCCGGGCTGTCGAAGAACGAGCGCTAGTGAGCATTTCCACTGCGTTGCATTTGTTGAAGCAGTCCAGATTCTGGGGGCAGAAAGACAGAGTCATCTCTTCCTGGGATCGGATGTATGGTCATATCTCAAAGGGCGTGGGCGCTGAAGGAGAATATGTGCATGTTTTAAACAATTCACCACACTTTCTGTACTAGTCAGCTTGGGCTGCCTGGACAGAACACCACAGACCAGGGGGCTTAGATGACAGACATCTGTGTTCTCACAGTTCTGGGGACTGCAGTCCAAGATCAAGACCTGGCAGGTTGGTTTTGGGGAGGCTTCTCTTCCAGGCTTGCAGACGGCCGTCTTCCTGCTGTGTCCTCACATGGCCTCTCTGTGTGTGCGCAGACAAGATCTCGGGTGTTTCTCCCTCTACTAGTAGAACCACAGTCCTATAGGGTTAGGGCCCCACCCTTGTGACTTCATTTAACTTTAATTATCTCCTTAACTACCATCTCCAAATGCAGTCACACTGGGGTTAGGGCTTCAACATAAGAATTTGGGGAATGCAGTTCCCTCCGTCTCACCACACGCTGAATGAACAGAGCATGGAGAGTGGTGAGGTGTCTCATGGCTGGGTCTGGATGGGGTGGTTATCACTGCCCCCCACACCCACTGGCTCCTGTGTGTGGTTCACCTAACTGAGGGCTGCTGGGACAGGTAAACAAGTGTACAAAGTATGGTTGCTACTGAACATGCACTGCTTTTGCACCACTGGAAAATCAAGAACTTGTAAGTGGAACCATCGTAAGCTGGGGACCACCTGTAAACCTGTCAGGGGTGTGTCTTAATCATCTGCGAAAGGCCCACCTCCTGATACCATCCCACTGGGGGCTGGGCTTCCGCACGTGAATTTGGGGGACCCACATTCAGTCAGCAGCAGGACCTGAGAAGCAGAGAGGTCAGGGACTGGGAGTGCGAGCCAGGCTGGAAGCTGGGTGCCAGGCCTTTCGAAGGCTGGCTGAGGGGGCAGGGAGCTGTCTGTTCCGCTGTGGCCGCGTTTCCGGGGGCCAGTGGGGGAGCAGGTGCAGCTGCCAGGCGTGGCAGAAGCCTGGGTCAGGGCCAGTACTCAGGAATGCAGCAGGGCCCTGCCCCTCCCTGCAGGGGCAATCAAGTGCCAGGCACCCAGAACAGCGGATGTATCCGCGGCCACAGCCCCCAGCCACCACCCAGCTCCACACAGGCTGTCCCAGGCCAGCCCCTGGGGGCCTGAGATGTGTGGGGAGCTTGAATGCAGCTCTGTGGCTGGGCAACTGCTCTGTGAGAGGCGACTGGTGGGTGCACAGGTGACGCGGGGGTGGGGCAGGGGACACAGGAGACACAGAGCTGCTTTCTGGGCCTGGCCTGACCCTGCTCAGCAAGACATCACTTCTGCATCAGAATCAAGCTTGTGGCCGATCAGGGACCTACTCTCAGATCCCCAGGGACAGGGGGAAGGGGCAGGGGAGGGGGTGGACCTGGCCCTCTGCACCCAGCATGGTGGCGACTGAACTGGCGCGCTCAGGCTCAGCCAATGCTGGTCAGTGCTGGTGCATGGGACTCACCCCGGTGCACGGTCCTCAGTGAGAGGCACGACCCAGTCCGAAGGGCCTTGCGAAGGTGAATACCCACGTGTCCTGTCCACATCTGCCATCCTGCCTGTGCGGTTCGTGTCAACAGGCCGTGTTCCTCCCTTCTCTCCTCTCCCGCCAGAATCCAAGCCTCTAAGGTGGGACTGCTGCACTTAATGCAAATAATCAAGCCAAGTGTTCTAAAGCTAAACTTACTTTCTTAATATGGTTACCTCTAATAAAAATGAGGGTGCCTTTAAAGAGAAAAGTATTGTTTCTATAGGAGCAGGGTGGAAAGAGAGTAAGGCCAGGAAAGCCCACTAAAAAAGACCCAGAGCTAGTGAGTTAATCAGTTAAAGCTCAAAAAGCCAGGAGCAGCTTGGCCTTCTCTTTCCACCCCCGCTCATACCTGTCTTCCTGCCTGACAGGAGCTGGAGTCAAGTCCATTGCCTTTTCCAGCTTTTCTGTGGTGCTGCCCCTCTGCGCTGACCCCTTATGCCGCCGGGTGCTCCTGAGGCGTGGGGGTTGGACGCCGTCTTAGAGATGGGGGTTGACGTCCAAGGCGTTAGACCTGCCAGGTGCCCCAAATCACGAGGGCTCCGGAAGAACTGGGGGCAGCTGGACTGGGTCTACAGGGTGGGGGAGGGGAACCAGAAGCTCAGAGCCCCGGGCTGTGGAGAGGGCTCCCAGGGCGCCTTTGTGGAGCGGCTCAGCTCCTCTGCACCATCCTCACCAGGTGGGAGGGCTTTTAGCCCAAGGAGACCAGACATGGAGACCTTGTGCATGTGGTGCCCAGGGAGTGCCTGGGCCCACTCACCACCCCGCAGCAACCTGCACTGGGGCCCATGCTGGCAGGACCTGCGAGTGGGCCCCCGTCTACCACCGCACACGTGTCCTGGCCAGGTACCCCCACGGACAGTCCGCTGTCAGGGCGTTCTGGCCGCAGCCCTGGCTGGTGGGAGGCACAGGCGCTAGCGGCTGAAGCCAGGTTGGTGGAAATCACTTCAAAATTGGGCAACGTGGACACGGAACGCCCCTCTTGCAGGGCTGGTTCCTGTGCTTTTGTTAGACAAGCGCCCCCGCCCCAGCCGCGGGTGGGCGGGGTCTGAGCCCCCGACCGCGCCCCGCAGCGGACCGCCGGGCCTCAGGTGGCCCCCACGGGCGCCCCGCCCCGCCCCGCCCTCCGCCGGCCCCGCCCCGGCCCTCCCGAGGCTATTTTGAAAGTGACCCTGGGCCGGGGCGGCCGCGGGCGGCGGGGAGGCGCGGCGGGCGGGCGGGCGGAACCATGACCGAAGATGACCGAGGCGGCGCTGGTGGAGGGCCAGGTCAAGCTCCGGGACGGCAAGAAGGTCGGGGCGCGCGGCGGGCGCGGGGGGGCCGGGCGCGGGCGGCCGCTCACGCTCCCTCTGTCCCGCAGTGGAAGAGTAGGTGGCTGGTGCTGCGCAAGCCGTCGCCGGTGGCAGGTGAGCGCGCGGGGCCGGGCCGGGGCCGGGACCGGGACCGGGGAGCGCGGCGCCCCGACCCCCTCCGCAGGGAGGCGGACTGCGGCCCGGAGCGGCTGCGGGCCGGGCGGCTGGAGGGGCCCGCGCGCCGGGCCGGGGCCTAGGATCGGAGCCGCCAGGGGCGCTGCCCGCGGAGCTGAGCCCGGCGGCCCCGACAGCCTCCCCGGGTGGCGCCGAGGCCGGGCCGGGTGGGAGCGGCGCTGCTTCTGTTCTGAGAAGAGAAGCCCCCCCGCCCGCACCCCAGCCCGGAGGCCCGCGGGGAGCCCCAAGTCGGGCGGCTGCGGCCTCAGCGAGGATTCCGCGGCGGGGAGGCTCGAGCCGCCGCCGCAGCTGTTGCCGGGACAGGTGCCCTGCAGCCGGCCCGGCCCCGGGGTCCGTGTGGGATGCTAGGCTGAGCCCGCGCCGTCCCACACGTGTGGGGCTGCCAGAGGGGCTTCCGGACGCCTGGACGCCTGGGGAGTCTGTCACGTCCCGGGGTGCAGGCGGGGGCGCCCTCCCTGCCCCTCCCCGGGCGCCTCTCCGGGGCCTAATGCGCCCGCGCCGGCGCCGCACGGTTGCAGGACGCAGCCCGGACCTCCGCCTCCCCTCCCAGGTCCCGGGCCCCGCGCCCCGTTCATGTGCCAGGCAGCCTTCCATGCCCAGGCCGCGCGCCTGGTGCCGTGGGGCCCTCGTCCTGGGGAGCAACGGGTAGGCCTGGGAGAGGAG